AAAGTGGCAGCAGCTCCATAGTGCAGATGCAGCAACAGGCTTGAAAGGCACTGGCATGAATCAGTGCCTAGAATAACTAGAAGCAGAGACCTGTTTGATGGCTGGTATGAAATGAGGTCATAATTTGAATCTGGTCCCCAGACTGTAGCTTGTTTATCTATCTAGGCTTCTACAGCATCCAAGCACCTGCAGTAGCTAAACCTGCCTTCTTAGCACAGGCTGAAGATGGAAAAGAGTAGAGGGGCAGGAGTTTCATAGGTGGCCATAGACTCCAGGGCCAGATTCTACCCCACTTATTAGGTGCTCAAGTGGACTTAGGTGCCCAAGTGCAACTCTATTCCACCTTGCTCAAGTTCCAGATAAAGTATGGGTGGGTTCTTCTCCTCACTGCTTTTTGAGACTCACTCTTCAGGCCAAGATGACAGCAAACGTTACAAAACTAGATGCATGCATGGACTTTCAGGGGCTCAGGAAGGTAGAACAGAATCACACTTAGGTGCCTAAGTCAATGTGTGCCAAGTATATGGAATAGAAACTAGTGTTAGATTCCTCCATTTTCAGGTTTCCACTGTTCCTAAGACTTACACCCTGAAGAAGCTTACACACATGCGGCATCAGCTGAAGTTTTGCCTGCAATAAGAAGCCCTCAGAACATTTCCACTTGTTCTTCCATTCTTATATAGGGCTAATCCAATGACCTTTCCCACTGGCTTAGATGGGGGTTAGAGCAGGTTTGTAGGGAGCAGAGATCAGGTCTAACTTTTTCATCATTTTGCATAAAAACAGAAAATAACTCAAATTCCAAACAGGTACAAATATATACATACAGTACAGCCCAAACTATGAGGGTACAGTACTTTGAAATAACATCCTGAGTCGTCATGGCACTTAAACAATGTGGCAAAGAATGCAGAAGACGAGACTATTGAGAAAATCACTGTGTTAAGCAAATATTGGAGAAGGTGGGAGGTATAAATGACTGAGATGGTCTAATAAAGCTTTGGAAGACGCACAAGAGCAGCCAAATACATCTCCTGTGTTTTGTACTTCCATGTGAGGGAGGCCATTTGGAAGAGACCAACTTAATTAAAAACATAAAATGAGATGTTCAGGACCACATAAAATTAAAGTTCTGTACATTTGGTAATTCCCAGCACCACTCAACAGAGCAAACAACAGCAAAATCCTGCCTCCCACTCCAGAAGTCAATTATAAAATGGTTGTTACTTTCAATAGGTCCGGGAGCTCATCTTAAGAGTTTGCAACAGAGACTCAAAATCCCACAATTAAATAAGCATTAGACAGTGTCACAAGAAACGCAACTGTAGGAAAATATTTCTTCTTCAGCTTTCACATTTTATAAAAAGGCACTAATCCCTTCCAACCCAAACAGACTCAGCTAGCAAGACATTACCCACTGGCTTCTTGTCTAGAAATTGCATGCAGCATGAATATGGAGCTCCATTATTAAGGTAACAGACACAGCTTATTGCTTCCATGGTGTTATATGGAAACACACGGCATGCTAAAAGCAACAGTGATCAGCTTCTGTTTTGAAAAGCTCCTTGTCTTAGCTTTTAGAAAATAGGTTTATCTTTGTAACAGTCCAGATGAAAAAAAAATATCAAGGAAGCATACTTTCCCTTATTGAAGCATCCCCACAGATCCCTGTAAAATAAACGAGGAATTACAAGTATGCACATAGGGCCAAAACAGACTCCAGGTTTCCAATGGGTCTTTTCCTTTTTCTTCCAAGGAACAGTTCCAGAAAGGGTCTCAATGTTTTCATAAGTTTTTCTTTTTCCTTGTTCCACCAATCTTTTGTCCCAACCTATTCTTTCTCCCCTTTCTTGCCCTAAGTAAATCATGGCTCACAGCTGCGTTTCCTCTTGTTCCAAAGAATGTGGAGGAATGTGACAAGATGGTGGGAGAGATGCTAACTTCTGAAGTTTGGGATGTTGCAAAGGTTTTGGCCTGTGGAAGGAACGCCGACTTTGGACACGCCTGGCAGCAGCAGACCTGTAATTACCTGGAACACTAAGCAGTGATTTCATCTCTTGGGTGTCTTTGGAATTAAAGTCCTCTAGCCCCTCTTGCATAGCTATCGAATAGTCCTGCTGTGAATTCACTGGCTCATAATTAGTTTCTGAACAATATCCTGAATTTGTTGGTTGATTGTCATTTGTATCCAGGTCTGCTTTCCAGTACAGTTCAGTTATGTTTGAGTCATGAGAATTTATATAATCTGAGGCAGTAGAAAGAGATATACCTCCTCTGTTGTCCAGTGAAGAATACCTTTCTGTCCAAGGCCCTTGAAGACAAGATGGAATGAAGTGGAGGGGTTTCTCGGCAATAGGGGCATTTTGGTTTGCTTGGTCAGATTTATAAGGAGACAGCTTCTCCTCTGGAGATGAGTATCCTGTCAGGTCAGCATCATGAACCGTGTCACCTACATTGATAAAATTAAATATAGAAATGTGTAAGCTGAGACTTCTTTTATGAGATTCATTTTCATTCTAAATACTGATTTCATATGGATCCCTCAATGGCTGCTATTTTGCAGAAGGTCCTTAAACAGAATCTGTTCCCTGAGTCAGTGAGGCTCACTTCCACTTGCAAAACTGAAGCTAATCAAATTTCCCTGGCTGGAAACCAGGGCAATATTTAGCCCTGTTTGTTAAGTATATCAGCCTGTTCAGATCCTAAGGTAAGGGTGCCATCATGTGGCTGTTTAAATGTATTAATCAGCATTTTTCCTTTGGGCCACTTAGTTGTAAGGCTCATCTGAGGAATTCTAACCACTGAATTAATAAGCAAGTCAGGAATTGGTCCACTGTGCTATTATAAATGATGCTCTAAGGGGATAGGTCATGAGGGAATTTGCTTGGCTAGAGCTGTAAATCAGTTTAATATTTCAGTGAGAAGACCCTCAGAAAGCCAGGCCCTGCATACATAATTTGCAAATACAATTTCTTTCAAAGACACTAGTTGGCTATTTACAGGCTTTCAAAGCCTTTTAACTAGATTCTAGTGCCATTTTACATCAGGCTGGTTCATTGCATAAGATGCGTTTAAAGAGGACATTTTGACATACGGGGGCATAAAGAGCATGAACAACGCCCTTTATAAGAATGCAAAGTAGACCTTACTCTTTCAAAACCATTTTTTCAAAAATCAAATGATAATCTACTTTCATTTGGCGAGCTAACTCCCAAGAGCCACCTTTACCTCTAGTCACTGTAGTCATTCTAAAGCTACCAAACATTTTATCTGCACAAGAAGCTATCAAGAGACAAGTTTTAAATAGTGAAATCCATGCCAATCAGGGTGATAGAACAGAAAAAAGGATAAAAGTTAAGAAGGACAAAGCTCAGCAAGCAATAAGTGATAGAAGTGAATACTGTACAGTATAGATAAAGGTTTCCAAGAGGAAAAAAACAACACTTCAGCATCTTTCAAAAGAAAAAATTATGATATATATTATTGGAGGGAGATACCTTAACACTGCAATGCCATTTCTTATGTGCCAGCTTAAGTAGTATGAATGGAGTGTATTTTAATTCTTGATAAGTCTATTCCATTAAGTTGGCATTTATTTCAAGCCACTATTTTTAAAACAATGTAAAAAGATTGATAATCAGTTAAAGCAACCCCAGAGTATCCACTCTTGAAAATGACACATCATAACCCACTACCTAGAACTAATCAGGTATATCACTGCTCCCCACAGGACAGAAGCCATGGCTGTGAGGAAGATTTTTTAAATCTTATATCAGACCTTTGTGAAACTCTTCTTGAGTCAGGATTGCATAAGTGCTCAATAAATAGAGAACAGACTGAGGTTCTCATCTTTTAAATGGGAAGTTAACTCAGCAATTGATTTGACAGTGAATAAACCATGCCTTTGTACTTTGCATGCACCTTCAATACTGTCCTGGACATCAAGAACAATTTGGTTGTATTTTTTGCATCATCTCTACATTGCTCTGGAGTTTTATTATTGATACTGAATCCTACCATGAACCACGCTCCATATAGCAATGACTGTACCTGTGACAGAGACCTATTGAACAATGGGCTGATTTTACAATTTGGAAGAATATCACTGAGGACTAATGAGAGCAAAATCTTCATTTCATATGAGAATGAATTCAGGTTTAAGCTGCCCACCTTCAAAGGCAACGAAGTACTGTATCAAGAACTTGCATCAATATATTACTCAAGGCTTAAAAATAAAGACTGCTATAAATAGAATGAAAAGGGCAAAATGAATGTTAGTGCTCTAACAAAAATATGGGGTCTTGGTCTCCGTGGCGTAGTTTGTTGGTTAGTCACCTCCATCTGTGTCAGGTAAAATGTAATGTTTCTTGAAGGCTGTACCTGATTTTTAAACTTTTTGTTAAGTATTAATGTGCTTATTAGTATTAATTAGTCCTTCTACTAAACACATGCTTAGATGCCCCAATCTCATTGGGCTAAGGGCCATACAAAAACATAACAAAGAAAATCCTTGCCCACAGTTACCGGGGATAATAATTATCACTTCTGGAGATACTGATTCAAATGTAAATTCCTTCAAAGTTATTAAAGTGAGATATTCAGCCTCCTAGTTGAGAGGAGAACTAGAACCATTATTAAAAAAGTGACAGATGAGCATACTGCCAAGCAAAACCAGAAAAAAAGTAGTAGAAGTACCTTATCAGTGTTGGAAAGGGTTTTGTTTTGAAAATAGCAAAAAAGATGCTGAAACCAAAATGAAGGCCTAACTCCTTGGCTGGTGTATCATAGTCTTCTCTGGGTTTTTACCAGCTGAGGATCCAGCCCTAATTATTTAAATTTTGGCCCCTTTCTTTAAAAGCTCTGGATTTAAATAGAAGAGCAGCAGAACGTTTAATTTCAGAAAAATCAAGGAAGAGAAGGACAAGGGAAGGGCTCATCAGGTGGCCAGAGAAGAACAGAGAGATTGATTGAAAATAAAAAGGAATCTGTGTTTTAAAGTATTACATATGTGTTGATTCTGGGAGAAAAGATCTGGGTCGCTCCTCTGGACCATCTGCTAGCAAAAAGGAATCTACTGATTTATTGCTGAGCCGAAATGGGGTGAGCCGTCTGAAGTTGTTTGGAGAGTACGGTATCTGCACTCGGGCCCTTTGTGATGGTACTACGGTATCTTCATTAGATAACCATGGCGGAAACTTCACGTAGATACTTTGATCATCATCAGCAGAAAATACTGGGTTATCAATTCCTACAAAAGTTTATGAGTGACAAATTCAGTTGGTAAAGAAAATAAATACATTTCTTGGCAGTAAACGGAACGTTTAACATTGGACCACGGCCATATTGAAACAAAACATAGGAAAATAGAGCATTTCCGGCATGTACCCTGCTTGTAAGCCTGGTTCGCAATGGTCACTTTTTTCCAAAAAACAACAAATAAATCTCAGTTAAGGTTGAACTCCCCCCCCTAAAGCATGAAACAAAGACTGGAGTTATAGCAAGCATGCCTTGAACCAAATATGCTCACTTTCAGTTTGGCTTTGACATGTAGAACATTGAAAATGAAACATACCATATTTACTCGATTCCAAGATGAGTCGTCCCCCCACATTTAACATGATGGGGAAAGCCCCTTGTCTTGGAATCGACTATGAGGTGCTAGGGTAGCAGGCAGATGCTATGGCTGCTGCCAGTGACCCCACTGCCTCTGCACCCCTTGCTTCCCCATCTCTTCCTGCAGCCTCAAACCCCCTGCTCCATCTCCTTCCTGTGCCACTTCTGCTTCCTGCTCATCCCTGCTTACCTCTGCTTCAGCACAGACATGTTTCCACCCCAGCAGTGGTGCTGGCGCTGCGCTGGTGCTACAGGACCAGATTGAAACCATGCTCCCTACACCAGGTTGCAGCATGGGTGGACCTTGCCAGCACAGACCAAAGGTAAACAGGAATGATGGGACAGAGGTCTGAGGCTGGAGGCAGAAGTGGTATGGGGGAGAAGAAAGAGAAGTGGGGGGAAGGGAGGTTGGGGCTTCAGGTTACAGGTGGAGGTAGGCATGGGGTCAGGCAACAGGAGGCAAGCTGTTGCCTCTCCCACCACCTCCACATTCCCTTCCCCCTACCACCTGACTTACTGCCTGCCATCTCTACCTCCTGCCCTCTTACTGCCTCCCTCATTGCCTGCAGTGGTGGTAGGGGGATGAATTTAAGATCATTCTCCAATAATAATTAGATTCTATACATGGAAAGTTATAACACATTTATAAGTTTTCCATGTATAGAATCTAATGGGGGGGTCTTAAATTCAGGGTCAGCTTGGATTCAAGTACATATGGTGTTTGAAGGATTGATACCTAGGACTAGATTCCTTTTGTAAAAAATGTACACCTTGTCATCTCACTACCTTGGCGATCAATAATATCCACTTAGTACACATCTAAGTTCAAAATTCAACATGATGGGATATGGTAAAAAAGTTTTATCAGCATGAATCTGACTGCATCCAAATAAATGCTAATGCAAGCTTTAAACTACACTGCACCGTCACGTATTCTGCATGTGTCACATGGTATGCAAAACAGCCTGCTATGCTGTAAGTCCAACTTCATGGGGTTTAGATAGAAAGAAAAAAGTCAGAATATATTTTAAGATATCAGAATGTATCTTAAGTTGTTTCTTCTATATATAAAAATGTCATAGTTTAAAAATCTGAGGTCTTCAAGCCTCCTAAGGCTAGAAGAAAGTGCTGAACAGCTGGGAATGCCCCTTTTTCAACAATGAAATGACCTTACTTCTAGCTCAGCAAGTGTCTGTAGATTGGTATTGGAGCTTAAACCTGTATTAGCTCATTCTGGATCTCAGGCTCCCGTAAATTAAGGGGAGGAATTCCATGCAAGGGTGAAAGAGGGTGACCAACTGGAGTCAGACTGATGTAGATATTCCTGACAAGGAAGAAATCAATTCATATGACTAAATATTGCCTTGTCCTTGAAAATCAAGAAAACTCTAGAATAATTTTTTTCCGTCTCTAGAAGCCGTTAAATCTTTTACATCTGGGTTATGAAGACAACTTTTTCAGCACCGCTAGAAAGTATAATCACCAAAAGGTTCAATAAATTGCACCGAGGGAAAAGTATCTATATGTTGTTTATTTGCTTACCCGTAGTAGCATCTGCAAAATTCTGCTTGGTGACATCAGCTAAAAAGTCAGTCCCTTTGTCCACATGCAGAGATTCATAATCATTGTTTTCTTCTGAATCAGAAAATTCCAGATCTGTCAGAAAATAACACAATAAGCTTGTGCCAGAGATTCAGAAAGGATTCCTGAAGTAGTTATTTAATGCCAATAAAGTAAATGCAAAATTGTAAGTAATAGTTGAGGTGTTATAATTAGGTTTTGTGCTCATCAGTTATGTGCTAATCAGACTACAAATATTTGATCCTTGTTTTACTCCTGTATCGTCTCATGCTGTGATTATATTAGACTTCTCAAAGAAAAGAGGATTCAGTTTCTAGATAGGTGGCAGCATGTTTGCTGCTTACCCAGGACTGAAACAAAACTCTAACCAGTGGTAGGGGTATTATACTGCTACAGGTGTCAGCCTTCAACAGAGATACAAAGATGATGCTTGTGGTCATTAAAGAGCCCATTGCACTCCCATAATTAGCAAAAACAACCTGCATAATGTCAAATGGGGTCAAAACATGTCTGTCAGTCTAAGTTTCCCCTGCAATATAATTGGATATGACATTACTTTTCATCTTTTAAAAACAAACTGTGTACAGTGTTGCTGTCTGTTGTTAAACCCTTGCTGTATTTTCTTCCACAGGACCTCCATTTCACTGGTTGGGAATGAAGTGACCCTGAGGTAGTAGGTTCATTATCTGGAGAGTGTTCAATGCCCTAAGTAGAGAGTGCTAGGGAGGCAAAATGAAGACAAAAGGTGCTATAGAAGTATTTTTGTTTCTTTCTCAGCTAGCAAGTTTCCATTTGTAACAGAAATGCAGGCTGACAAAATGATTTCGAAAGCAAATACCAGAGTTTCAGACTGAAGGCAATCAGTTCTACCTCCCATACCCCCACCTCTCTCTTTCTGACAGCTATGGGAAACATATCTAGCCCCAGATGCTCCCCATTTCCCAATGATAACCAAGGTTCCTGGGTATCCTGGCAGGGGTGGGAAAGGGGAATAATTTTTTCCCCATGCCTTTTTTTTTTTTTTTTTTATTTTTACCATTTAAATGCAAATAAATTTTATT